ATGAGTACCACAGGGCGAGCTATTTCTAGCGTATGCTACAGTATATTAAGGGGAGAAACCCCTTTATGGAAATGCTCTGTCCGTCCGTCGGTCGGCCGGTGCTCATGACCGGGTAGGAATCGACATTCGGTTTTCGCCAACTTGTATCTAATTTTTAGGGCCAGGTCAAGTTAGAATATGGTGGTGGTCGGCCACACCCCTTGATCGTAACGAGGTGTGGTCATGTCGAAATTTCGACCAAATGTTTGTCATTTTTAATATGTTTTCCACGGGGATGTCCGGCGTCCAAAAAGACAACTCCCACCCAGGGAGGCGTGCCAGGAACAAGTCCCTAATTAGATTCCTGGGGTTATTTGAAATAATTTTAGGAGATTATATGACGCCATGACAGAAGACGACTTGATAAAGTGGTGTTACGACATCCCACTATATGTAAAGAGAGTATTCCACTTGGTTTCACCCCTTTGCTACATTTCCTTTGCAACGGTTTATTTATTATGTAGTGGTTGGGTTAACTTTGAATTGAATTGAAATGAAATGAATTGAATAATTTAGATACTTAATGAGAAAGCTTGTATCTTCAAATCGAAATGAACAATAAAATTCCAATACAAAATATTGTCGAATATATTCTTTATTCACAAATTAGTAGCATAGTTTATTCGAAAATATTAAGCAAGTCGTTCACAAAAATCAATATGTTTAAATCATACGTATTACATATTATTTTTATATACATCAGAAGCAATCAAGTAAGTTATATAAAGTAACATATTATGCCAAGAAAAGGTATTACTTAGTAAACCTAAATAATCAACAATAAATGTTTATAAATACATACTGGTCTCAATTTTAATTGAGAGCATATGAATTAAATTATTAAAGATGAAATCCGGAGATGGGAACCACAAAACATCTATGTATTTATTAGATATAAAGCTAGTCCTCCCTAATTCCTTAAATTAACCAATAAATACATTGCTTCACATACTAATAGTTTATTGTACCCATAACATCTAATAATATATAATGTGTTTTAATGTTGATATGGATGACCTGACGGTCTCCCATCAAATTACCTTTATGCCGACGAAAAAAAACAAAAAACAAAAAATAAAGAAAATTTTAAAGGAATTAAGGAGAAAATCGAAATTCTGATCCAATATTTCTCGAGACATATAATTTAGCCGTAAATTGAATAAAAAATTATTTGATTCCATCCTTTGTTGGCAATGGAAAGGTTTGAATTTTTTTCAAATTTCTCAAGTCATGGTGGGGTGATGTGCGACGTACAATAAGAGGCAATCCCACTGTCGCGAGACAAGAAATTTACAGTTTTGTGTCATTCTGTACAACAGGCTAATTATTTTGTCGGCATTTTGACCAAAGGTGAGTTTTGCCTCCACACGAAGGGGCGGTTTCATTTGTCATGCCCAGGCTCTAACCATGTATTTTTCTTCTCAGTTTTTTGTCTTAATGGGGACGGTGAGTTTTCTGTCATCCTAGGACAGACTAATTGATTAAGAAAATTGGGTCTTTGCAGGCTTATTAGGATAACCTCTATATTTTAATTAAAAATGATGATCCCTCTATTATGCTCAATATTCATATTAATCTTTCTCTTGTTATTGTGGTAAGCAAAATCAATTTATAAGATTATTTAGCAAACTTAAGCAAATATAAAATTAGTTTTAATTAATTTTAGCTTTTTATAATAATTTACTTTCTTAAATCACATGTGTTGTTGTCAGTTGATATATTTAGCAAATTCTATACCAAAGCTTGGCCTAGGCATAATGAAAATTCGAATAATACCAGCACGTCGACTCTACAAGAGACCACGGCATGACGGTCACGAGGTTAACCGAGGTCAGACCTCTACAAGGTCGAATCCTGAACCTCTCTGGGTCATACGGAAGGGTGAAATCATTTTTTGAAACATTAACTCTTTAGTACAAGTTCGGATGTCAAAAGTTTAGCCTCAAAACTTTTTATAATCACATCAACAGAGTTGGGAGATTATACCATTTAGGGATTAGGATTAGGATTAATTAAATTCGGTGGATTGGATTGTTTTGGGATTAGATATTTATTAAATTGGTCGGGGTTGGGGATTGGGGATTAGCTAATTCGGATTAGATTTGGGATTAGCTTTACTGTACAATTTTCTTTCAATACTTATTGGATTGATTTAATTAATTTTTTTCAATGTCATCAATAAATTGAAAAAATAACTACAAAATGATTTATGTTTAATTGGAGCATACAATTGTGATTTTTTGTTCAACTAGATTTTAATTCACAACAATGAATAATTAGTAAAATAATAGTAACAAGCAAGGTTAAGTCAGTATTTTAATTTTTACAAATTTTTCCTACATTTTTATCAAAGCTAGTTACTTAAAATCTCTCCATGCAAAATACATGATACATCATTTAGGTTTTCATTCTCAAATGTAAATTTTTATATGGTTAGTTTAAAAAAAAGTAAGCTTAACAATGACGATTTGGAGGTGGTTGTAGTACAAGTAATACATAATAATTGAAGGTGGTTGACTCTGCACGATGGCTAGATTTCGCTCTGACAAATTAATATTTTTCGGCCTAATCATAATAACTTTAAACATTATCCTTTACACCAAATTGAACCACAAACACTCCCCTATCCGACAAGCTAAATGGATTGGGACAAATTCATCAGTAGACTCTGATCAGAAACTTTTAAAATTTCTCTTGAAAAATGTTATTATATATACTGTGTGCAAAACAGCCCAACTCTCCCATATGTTTACCTGGATAGAGACATAGCTAACTTAGACTCACATAGTGACACATATATATCCAAGCTAAAAACCAGGCCCGTACTCACAACACTGGTTAAAGTGCAACTTATTAAGCTCGGTTGTCACCACCCCACCTCCTCCCCCTCCTATAATCAGAAATCGACACTTGTAATAAGCCATAAAAATAAAATACGTCGACTACTTCGGATCCTATTACTACTTTCGGGGGTAAACACCATTAACCCTGGCCCTTGTGCAATTTGTCTACGCCCAGGAAAAAAGAATCAACTTTCAATTAATTGCAAGAAATGCCAATTATCTTACCATCGTACCTGTCTAACCCCACAACCAACGTATCGCGAATTTACCATAATGTTAAACAGCAACACACGTATCTGCACGACTTGCACATCTCCGACCCCCACACAATGCAGTTTGTGCGAAATACATGACCGTAAGCAGAAGGTGGTCTGCTCAATCTGCGAAAAACACTATCATCGACCCTGTCTCAAGAAAACTAACCCAAAACTTAAATCCACCACAATTGATTGGTCATGTATGATATGCACAACTACTTCTACGACTTCACATCCGATCAACTCAAATTTCGCTGGACCTACGCAACAATTAAACCTCCCAAGAGGAATCAAAATAGGTCACATAAACGTCCGTGACCTACTCTCCACAACAAAAAAAGATTTGATGCGAGAATCAGCTGTGCTCACCGTTCAACGTTTTATGGGGACACATGATGCTGAGAAAATCACAGATACTTTACTAAATATTGTACAACGTTTTCAACTGCAAAAAGAGAAAATAACTGCTATTGTGACTGACAATGGAGCAAATTTCGTAAAAGCGTTCAAGGAGTACGGGACCCCACTTGATACAGATGAAGATGATGACGAAATTGAGAGAGAAGAAATTTCATCTTTAGCGTTTGACCTGCTGCCGTCTCTTCCCACTCACGTACGTTGTGCAAGTCACACATTAAGTCTGTGTGCGACGACAGACATAGAAAAGGTGCGTTTGGCCGTAATTATATACGTTGTATTGTCCTATGCTATTCAAGCGTGGCATTAATTGGCAATTCTTTTATTTTAGGCAAATATAGTAACACCAAGAGGAATCGAAAACTTCAAAGTTGTGTTCCGTAGTGCTATTGGAAAATGCAATGCACTTTGGAATCTGGCGTCACGTTCCAATAAAACAGCAGAAGAAATTAAAGAGCTTTGCGGAGTGGCTCTCGTAAGACCAAATGCTACTCGTTAGAATTCCATGTTTGATGCAATTACAAAATTGATTCTGCTAAAGGATAAATTTGAAAGACTGTTTCTGCTGGTCAAGGTGGAATGTCCTACCTCAACCGAAGTCGAATTTTTGGAGGAGTACGTCAAAGCAATGCAACCTGTTGCATACGCTCTCGATAAATTGCAAGGAGAGAAGACTTTCTATTTCGGATATTTTGCACCAGTTATTTTTCAAACACGAAAGAGATTGGAGTCATTGATTCTAGAAAAAACCAGATTTTCATCAAAGATTGCTGCTGTTCTGAAAAAGAGTATCGAAACGCGATTTAAAAATATTTGTGAGTTAAATCTCCAAAAGTGTGCTCCTGAACTATTTTCTGCCATATCGTTTCCATTTATCAAGTATACATGGGTCCCTGAAGAAACTCGTGAGCGGCTTAAGAAAGCTTTTATTGACGAAGCGAAACAGATTAGAAGCACAATTCTAGGAGTTGCGACGTCTACTATTGGAACAAAAGTACCATCGACAGATGACAAGTTTTTCAAATTTGAGGAACCTGATCCTAACTCGCAAGTTATCAGTAATGATGTCGAGTTAGAGTGTATTAAGTATTTTCAAGATCCCTCAGTCGAATTGGGATGTCTGGATTGTTATCCAAGTATTCGCAAAGTTTTCGAGAAATATAATACGGCACTGGCGTCGTCGGCTCCTGTGGAGCGAGCTTTTAGTTATGGCGGCTTGTTACTAACTCCCAAACGTGCGACTCTGTCTGATGAGATGATCGATAAATTAGTTGTTCTTAAAGTTTCATATGGTAAATCTAATTAGTTTGTTTATATTCGCAATTAAATTAACTTATTTGCTTCTACTGTATAGTATTTACAATCAATTTGATTATTATTGGATGTGTAAACTATTCTGGTCATGAAATAAATAGAAAATTCAAAATAAAATTTTGCATCTTATTTACATTTTAAGTAATCCGTAATCGCAAAAGTAATCCTGATTAATAATCCGTAATCCATAATCCAAAATCTTTCTGAATTAAAAGTAATCCCACATTAATTCAATCCCGCACCATAGATTAATGCATAATCTATAATGCATAATCCACGCTTTCACAAAAGTAATCCATAATCCGTAATCCCGACTTTTTTTCGTTTAATCACGCAGCTCTGTCAAAATCATATTTTTTTATTTGCATATTTACATGTATGCACTTTTTTTAAAGTTTTTTTAAAGTACAAGAATCATGATGGACAGAAATATTTTTTGCAAGTATTCTGACATGCACCATTATTTTATTTTATTGATATCGCATGGTTTAGAAATCGTCAACGTCCAAACATACTTCGATCTTGTGCCTTCCAACTTTGGCAGATGAACTTTAATTCCTGGTGAACTAGGTTCATACAACAATTTCCCCCCATAGCCCAACATTCCTATTGTTAGGTCGGCGTTGTAGTTAACAGAACCGAGTTGTACCGTTTTTCCCGGCCAAAATGTGAGGAAGGCGAATACAGTTTCCTTATTTGAGGTGTACCTAAATATTCAAAAATTAAATATTGCACAAACACTTCATTCTAGTCCTAAAAATTTCAGAAATATATATATTTATGGTAAAACCAACCACACTCCTTTTGTGACAGTGTCATTTTGAGCTTCCCGCCACGGAGCAGATCCGTAAATGGCGGGTCCATTTATTTTCAGCCACTCCCCCATCTCCAGGAGACGTTCTTGCTGAATAATGTCGATAATGCCGTCCTTCGTGGGACCAACGTTGACGAGAAGATTTCCACCACATGACACAGTCTCGACTAAAGTTGTAATCAATTCTTGAGGACTTAAGTAATCGTCCAAGTTGGCATTTCGTCTGTAACCCCACGAAAGCTTGTCCAGGGTCATACAGTTCTCCCACTTGTGGGGAAGTACGAAACCTGATGCAAAATGTGGTTATGTTCTTTTAATTTTATAACATTTACGAATTTATGAAACTTCAACAATAATTAAAATCTTAAATAGCCTGACCTGGATTTAGTCGATCCCCACCTGTCCAAATTCCACCATGCCGACCTCTCGTCTCATTCCCCCATCGATCATTAATCACCACAAACTCTTTAACTTTGCTCTCGTTGAACAGCCATGCTAAAAACTGCGTCGATTTCCAGTATTGTGATGAAGCTTCCCATTCGCCGTCCGTCCAAAGGATATCCGGCGCGTAGCTTTCAACCTTGAAAAAGTTTGGACAAAGATTTTAATTTTTTCAGTAAGTTTGACTACATCCTATAAATTTTTATTTTGAAATTTATCTCACAATTTCACGCAGATTAGGAAGAACTTTACCCTCGATAAAGTCATCTGTTTTAAATTGGTTTGCCTTGTCTTTCATCCAAAGGGGGTGAAATGGTTCGTACAAACAATAGTACAGTCCAAAGCGGAGGGATGTCTGGTTTCTAAGAGTTGTACCGAGCTCCACTATAATCAATTATAAAAATGTTTACTTCAACAAATTATTGATCTTTGCTATTAGCTAAATACTAAAGGAAAACCAGAAATTTATATGTAAGGTTTCAAAAAAAGATGTGTTTGGCATGTATGATTCCCAAAGAATCAAAATCAATCAAAGATATATAAGAAATTAAAGATATCAATTTTAGATTGAAATATTTGATTAAACTATGACAAAGTTAATTCAGCTGTTCGATTACTTTCTGCTTAAACACTAAATTAATCAAAATTTGTCTTTGAAAAATTTCTTACAGACGAGATCACGCCCAGGACCCACATCCAATGAGTTCCAACCGAAAGAAGACTTCGACGGGAAGAGGGTATACCCGTCACAATGCTTACTGGTCAGTATGACATACCTGTCCAGTTAATCGTGTCAATTAACCATATTCCAATTTATACAAATAACAAATTTAGTTCCACTTTAGTAAATTATTCACACCTCGCACCGGCCCGTTCAAACAAATCCGCCCAATCCGTCGGACGGAAAAACTCTGCCGAAAACTTCGAGGCAAATTCTTGATATGTAAATCCCGGTTTGTAATTTCGCTTCATGAATTCGTTACAAGATGAACAATTGCCTAAATATTCATGAAAACTAAGTATCGGTAGATCCAAGATTTTAGCTACAAATTATCTCTAATATATTCAAATTTGGGTCGTAAATTTTGTAAAATTCAAAAATTTGCTACACATAAAATTAATTCAAACCCACCTGATTTCCAACTTTCCCAGAACACTTCGCTCGAAAAAGAAGGCACACTGAAAACTCCCCAGTGAATAAAAATGCCTATTTTCGCGTCATCATACCACCCCGGGGTAATGCGGGAATCCAAACTAGCCCAGTCCGGGGTGTACTTGGAAGAAACGTTTGCCAACGATAAAAGCACTACGGCAAATTTTAATTTTGTCTCAGCCATCATAAATTACATTGTGAATAAAATTATGTATGTAAAAGGTAAAAACTGTACTAAAAATCGAGAAGGATTTCTGAGAAGAAATTGTTTAATAATAGGAATGAATATTTCAGTATTTCCGGGTTCGTAGATATATTTCCTGGAATCTATGTCATGAAACAATTCTGTTGTGAAGAAACATGTTATTAAACAAATCGATTTATTTTGTGCAGTCAGTAAAAAATATTAGATTAAGATTTATTTTAAAATAGAATAACAAAATTTCCAGAATCTTTACAATTAAAGAGAAATGTCTTCAAGCTTCTGCACCTGGGTCATATTTATAGTTTTTAGAAAGCAATCAAGGGGAAACCGAAAATCAAAAAAATAGTTTAATATCTTAATTCGTTTGTCGTGTAGCTTCTACATAACTGAGAAGCACGGAATTCATAGAATTCTTAAAATTTGACATAATCTCCGTCGGATTAAACCTAAATTCTCTATAAGATGCGGGTAGTGAGATCCTGCCAAACTTACCAGCTCTAACTATGCCATAAATTCGGCCCTCAAAATTTAATTGCCAGGATAAGAAGTACTTCTTAAAATTCAGTATTAGTTGATATAACGGGGGTATTCATTATAAATAGGTTCGCAACGTTCGCATCTCCTTAACCTAGGAGATGCGCACGTTGCTAATAATTAAAATCCAGCATAAACGTTGATAGCAACTACAAATGTAATAAATATAGAAAAAATATGATAAAATTATTTACATTTTCCTTTTCATTAATTACTAGAAAATTCAGGGATTTCTGCGACATTCATTTTTTTAGTATAAATTGGTTATCTTCTTATCCATTTTTATATTAACTAAATATGTAAAGTATTTTGTAGCAAATATTTTTAGAAAAATAATATATGCGGCAATGTATATTAAAAAACGTAATTTATGTGAATACGCAAATATGCATTTTGCTATTTTTAGGATTTTGCAAATTGTATTTTCACTGCATTTACAAATGTTCATGCATAATTTCACATAGTATTTATAGCAAAATAAAGGAATAAATTAAACCTTATTCCTAAACCAAAATAAAATAGTAATATCCTCAAAGCAAGCAAGTCCTACTAATTTTTCCAATTTTCCGTGTATTATTCACACATGCACAATTTTAGATTATCTAAATAGGAAATTACTCGACACGTGAGATAAATACATATGTACAGCTATTAGATATTTATGCATAATTATTTCTCACTCACTTCTTGCCTTCCACCTTGAAATGAATATATATAACGCAGACTGCATACACGTGTCGCCACAAGATTTACCTCAAATTGGTGCTACGGAGTCCTTGATCCGTTTTCACGACTTGATTTTGCATAAGGATCTGCACATAATTATCAGAAAAGGGAATGGCTTCCCAATATGTGATCATCCTTAAACCAGATTAGATTTCATTCTATGATTTCCATTCTACAAAATTTACTCGAGGAAGAATCATGTCGCTAATTTTGCTGATTTTGTCTCTTTCTCAAATATTCTCGATATCTGAAGCGTTATCGTTTCAGGAATTTACAACGGTAAACGTGGCACAAAAGGCGGGACTGGAAAAGGTAGGTTTTTGGGAAATTCACAGTTAATAATTTTGATAAAAAAATTATTTTATTGATTTTTTAGTTATCGTCAAAATTGAAGAATAAATTACCGCATGAATATATGAAGAGGGATATTTATTTATTGCGATTTTTGAGAGGTAAATTATTATTGGGGGTACTCATATCGACTTGGCATGAAGATTTAACGGCGTAGTGTAATGAAGTTTATAAAAGATTTGCAGAATACAAAATACACATTTTGTAGTAAAAAAAATATCAATTGAATTTAAAAAACATAATAAATTGTAAGCACTTCAAAGTGGGAAATTTAATTCCTTCAGTACGTTTAAAATATTCGTTTTCGGGAAAAACTAATTTATGTTGTAGATTTTACTACCACAATTCATTAATAATATTTAGAACGTTTATATTCAGTTGGACTCATTTTTTACTGCTGATCAATAGAAACTTAATATTTTTCTGCCATTTCTGAAGCTGATTTTCAAAACTTGAACAATTTCAGACTCCGACTTTGACGTGGATGCGGCTGAAACGAGAATTCTCGGTGTAAGCAATTATTTTGTTGAATATCTTTCAAACTTTCAAGACCAGTTTTTACCATGTATTTATCGAATGATATTTCCGACTATAGTGAACTTTACACTTAATCACATTTTGTTTCAAAATACTATGAAACCTTCAAAAATCGGATTTAGAAATATTGTAAATTCTCCACTTTTTAATCTTAGTTTATGGAATGGCGCCAGAAAAATAATATTGACCTCGTCTTAAAAGAGGAATTTCCAGAGTATGACGCCGAATATAGGGTCATATACGAGGGGTGTGACAAGGGGGGAAATCCAGGTTGAGATTTAATAAAATATAAAAACAATAATTTATAAAATGTTAACTGTTGTTTCTACAGTCATCTCATTACCGATTGGAGACTGGGATTTGAGGCGAATCGTTATTGCGGGAAAATCAAAAAAGTTTGTCCGCTACGTTCAAAAGATATTGGAGGAAGGGACCGGATTTTTAAGATGGGGGCAAGAAGAAGGCTTTAATATGACGCAAGCCACAATTTTATTTGATCTCAAGGGTGTCAATTTGGTCACGCACGTTTGCGGAGGATGTAAATTATTTTTAAAATTTAAAATTTCGTACTTTATAGTATTTTTTAATCACGTAAATTTCTCCTCATCACCACCGTATTAGGTATTCCAATGTACTTGGAGCTCCTCAGTTTCTCACAGACGTACTATGGCGGATTTGCGCACAAAATTCATGTTCTATATGGTAAAATTACATTAAGTGTTTTTAATTTATAAATTTGGTGACGAAATTATTACCGAAAAAATTTATAAATTTGGTAAAAAAAAGTATTACCCACTCGCATTTACCAATTTAATACCATTTCTATGTTACAATCTTTCCAGCTAGAAATTATACCGAATTACTTAAATCGTAAATTGGTATCGTTGGTAAAGAAAGTGTTACTAGGCTAGCATCCTAAATTCGCAATAACTTCATTAGCCCAGTTTTCGTCCAAAACTGTAAGTCTTTCCTAATTTTTGTTTCTCAATTTCAGCCCCAGAATTCTCTCTTTCGATTTGGGACTTGTATAAAAACCTCCTGACTTCTAGCGTCGCAAAATTGCTTGAAATCCATGGAACCCAGAAACACGTCTTCGCTAAAGAGTTATCTCGAGAAATTGACCCATCACAATTAACCCAACGCTACGGCGGCGTAAAATTAGAGGGTGTGGATCTCAGCTCGATGCGATCCGCCGCACCGCCAGCCTTCTTGGCGAATCCGTTCAGTTTGAAGTTGAAGGAGAAAAATATTACAGACTTTTGTGGCATCGACTGGCCGAGAATTGAAAATATCATTGCTGAATCGTTTCATAAATGAGGTGGAAATATTAAAGTTTGGAAATAAAAAATATATACTTTTATATATAATTTGCAAGTATTACACGAAAGGAAATAATTCATACCACAATATTCATTACCATACAGGAAGATAAGAATGCTCATTTTTTTAGAAAGTGTAACCAATACGATCATTGGGGAGTGAATTATTAAACATTCGGTAATACTATTGAGTATCCTTTATGGTCTGCATATTAAAAAGAGAGCCAGTTTATAGAGAATAGAGAAAGCTTATAGAGAATTGGCTCTTCTTTAAAATTACAGACGATAACATAATTTAATATGAATTTTATACACTTATCTTTTACGATAAGATCCTCAAATTTCTGTATCATAATCGAACCGAATTATTTTTTATGATTAGTGCCAACCGAACACGAACAATTCAATTTTCTTGTATCCTACATCTTTCTACATAAATAATCCAACCAACTATCTACTGCTTGCTGCAAAGCAATCAGACAAACTTATTTTTATAAATACTATCACAAACCTTAATCATCCTCTGGCACGCGAATTTCATTATTAAACTTTACAAATAAATTCAGAAGATTTTAATCACAGATTTCCATAAACTTTACTTTCCGTTATCCGCATGGCAACTTGTAGGTTAGCAAACATTTCCTTTTTAATATCATTTGCGTCAAAACTCGCGCGCGAACCAAGAAAGTGAACTGTCTGGATTTTTTTTGTGAAAGAACAAAATTTAGTGATAATTTAAAATTCCAAGGAATTAGCAACATGACCAGGTAAGTGATTGTCACACATTACTTGGGGATGTCACCCTGGAATGACGGTATCAACAATTTTGGTAAATATTGTGGGGGGACGATGGGAGGAGGATAATAATGACGGCATGGTTATTGCACATTACTATAGTGTGGTAATCACGCCCATTTTAACCACCACCAGAATTCTATCATTATTACTATTAATGACAGTGGAATTTTATTTCGCATTGCTTTTTAAGTGGGAACTTTGTTCATCAAATGTGGACAATATTATGAATTATTTTGCGTATTTCTCTCTAAATTTTACCTTGAACAGAATCGATGGAATGGATCTGGGCGAGGAGGAGGAGATATTAAAGTTGTCTCCTGAGGAGGAATCGAAACTACTGAAAGAGGAGGGGGAGGAGGAGGTTCAGCCAACATCTTCACTACCACCACTCCCACCCTCGTCAGTTACAACTTTAGAAACCTGGGGACTAACACCTAAAATCAGTCTATGGATGTATACATCCATTATTCGACCAGCGATGGAATATGGCGCACTTGTATGGTGCCCTGCCACGAGGGTCTCTTCCCACATGACACATTTAGAGAGGGCACAGAGAAATGCTCTCCTGGTGTAAGTGGTGTAATGAAAAGTACACCTACGGCTGCACTTGAGTGTCTTTTGGGGGTAACTCCCATTGGGATCAGACTAACTCAAGTAGCTATTACATCAAGGCTCCGTCTACTGCACAACGCTCAGTGGAAACACTGGGTTGGGGGGCAGAGGACGCGGGCTTTAAAACATAATAAATTAACTCATGAGGCTTCAAAGGGCATTGTAGAAACACAAATGCCCTGCGAGTCCTTATGCAATCCACCGGTTGGTAGGAATTTCACAATTTCTATTCAATCTTCATTAACATGGATCAGTGGCGAGCAGTGCGTGCACCCCTCTGACATGACCTGCTTTACTGATGGGTCACGGATGGGGGAAATGGCGGGTTCGGCCTTCTATCTGATCCATAACTTATCTGACTGGACCGTTAGGTGCTCCATTCCATTGGGATGGGCACCTACGGTATACCAAGCAGAAGTCCTGGGAATAATTTGGGCCTGTGAAGAACTGGCTAAATGCTCCCAGTCATTTAATTCTGTCAACTTCTTTGTGGACAGTCAATCTGCCCTACTTGCCCTAAATAGCCCGTGGTCCTCCACAGGGCTAGTTACTGAGGCAATTAGGGCATTAAATATTATGGGAGAATCTAAAAGGATCTCTCTTTATTGGATTCCTTCACATCATGGTTTCGAAGGCAATGAGATTGCGGATGAGCTGGCCAAAGCTGGCTCACGGGAGAGCTACTTTGGCCCTCAACCCTCCATTCCTTTAGCCATTAGTACGGTCAAGACAGGGGTCCTGAATTGGACTATGGATCGACACATTGCAGAATGGGTTAAAAACCCTGCCTGCAATAACACCAAAAAGTTTTATCTGGCCCCATCGAAGAAGGTGGCCAAGTTCCTTCTTTTACAAAATCGATCGAATCTCCGTTCGGTAATATCAATCTTAACTGGGCATTGTACCTTGAACAGTCACCTGAGAACGATGGGGATAGTGGATGTGGCCACCTGTATATGTGGAAATGGCCCTGAAACTGTTTTCCACTTCTTGGGCGACTGTGACAGATACTGTGCCCTAAGATTTAGCATTTTTGGGAGGCACACAATGTCACCAGAATTAATTACTACCATGTCCCTGCCCGATTTAACTAAATTCATAGTTAAGTCCGGGCGGTTTGCGACTCAATTTAAGGGTCCAGATTCAGGGGGACAGGGGTCGACATAGTAAAGTACAAGCGAGTGTACTGGGGAGTCTGCAATTAGCCAATAGAGCTACAGCAGCGTGAGGGCACTACTTTCCATCCATAGTAGTGGCAATCACCCCCGCAAAATACATACACATACATACATCATTTGCGTCGAAAGTCAGTATCCTCTCAGACATTTGTATAGAAACTTATCAACCGAAATGTTTCACAATACTCTTGTCTTATTACCTTCCCTTCTTAATAAATCGCTTTACTATGACTTACGACTAGAAAAAACTTTCACCCCCTTCAAAGCCCTGCAACGCTTCACAAAATTGACAGAATTTTTCTATCCGCAACACATTACATGGGACAGAATAAGCTGGGTCCCTCATTTAACGCCGAAGAAAAATCTCGTTCCCTGGTTTGTTCAGTCTGGCCTCGTGTTCATGGCAGTAATCAGTCTCTACTTCCTCCAAATTAGAGATATATTTATCCACGACTCCACAGTCTTGTTGACTTCTCGGCTCACTTTAATTTTCTACTTGCTGTTATGCACTCTCGTGTGTAATATCATTGTAACTTTTTTATACTTCGGGGTGGAACTTTGTTTCGTCTTGAAGAGTTTGCAGAACCTTGAAGGATTTACTGGATTAGGTAAAGCATGCCTTAAAAATAACCTGGTGGTAGATGTCGCCAGACTGGTAGTAGAGTGACTTATTACCTGGTGATAACAAAACGCTAGAAGCTGGTAATATCTAACTTCCAATTTTTCCTAAACGATTTATGACTTCATCTTGTGACCGTTTGGTTATGAAAATGTGAAATAGTTACTTGATTTTTGTGGGAGAGCAAAGTTTTTATATATAAATATGGTCTAATTTATTTTTCCTGCTTTTAGAAAATGAAGCTTTCTACAAGTGAGGAGAGAGAGAATTTTTTTAGGGAAGTGGTCAAGTTAGTATACTCGATCGGACTGAAGGATTTTTCTCCATGGCAGGAGAACTAATACTATATTATCACTAAAATTATCCTGTCAAGATTTTGCATCCTGTAACTCCGCTCGAATTTCGCCCGTGTTGATGGATTTCTTAGCCGTCGTAAACAAACCCTCAACTAATTAAATATTCGAAAATATTATTTTTGTACTAACATGACCATGAACTCGAGTGATCAGTCCGACGGCATGGTTATGTTACAATCTATTGCCAAATGATTTTGAAGGAATTTGAAAACTTCCATTTCAACTAAATTTTTAAATAACTTAACATTGTTTTTTATGTTTAGTGCAACCATCAGGCAATGCGATAATTGGCCTATACCTTAACGGAGTAGTTCCGGCCTTTCTTGGCTTTCCTATTGCTCTATCAGCTGTTCCGATCTTCTTAAATGGCATCGAACCAACGTACCATCTGTTCACAAATTTTAGTCCACGCACACCATATTTGAAACTCGCGCTACGAGTTGGGCTAACTTTTCTTGTTTGTTTGCACAGTGCAATTATCGTTTTCACTACATCTATAATGTTATGCAATGCCGTTATAGTATTTCTAGGTAGTGTGCACTCAATTGCGAATATCAAAGGAAAAATTCAGCCGCCAAGCAACTTTTTTAGCAGAATAGTTTTACAGTCACGATTCTTAAAACGTTTATCAATATATCGCCAACTTCAAATTTTGGTCAGTCTGACGAATCAATTTATATATTATTCAATCCCAATGTCAATGTTTAGTTTATTTGTATTAGTAATTATTTTAGGATATGTTATAATCAAATTGACCGGCCAGGTTCCACTGACCTTAACGTTAGTTGCAATCTCAGATGTTGCCATGATTGTTGCTATGGCACAGTTTGTTTTCCCATTAATGGCGGACATTTACTGTAAATCTATATCATTTGTTGATGTCTGGAAAGAAATGAATGTTTGCAAGGTAAACGTAAAACAGTTGATAAGTTGCAAACCCTTTGGGATAAAGGTTGGTCCATTTTATTATATCAGGAAATCGTCACGAGTAGAGTTTCTTACTTCAATGTTATATTATACGGTATCTATGGTGATATCGTTTTCATAGATCAGATTACATATAAGTTACATGTAATCTGCTATATGAAAACATTATATCATGAAGTAACAATGATAAAAGCCTTTGAATATTTTAGATTATTGTATAATCAGAATAATGTTACAGTTACAAATTAACATTTGTCGGACGGTACATCATTGCTAAGTAAACAATTAAATGCTTATTTGTCGTCTTTTTCTCTATTAATTGTTAACACCAAAACCGATAAAAAACCGATTTAATAAAAGTTCTAGTAAACCAAATACATTGTACAGGGTCACTATCTACCCCCAATATAAATATGCAATAATCGGATAGTTTATACATAATGTTCTGAATCAGAATGTTAACTTCACAGAAGTGGCATTACAAAAATTTAGGAAGGATTACACCATCTTAGCACTGGAGACGAAGCCCCATGACACAGATTACATATTTTACTATTTCTTACATCACAAAACTCATGATGGAAAGGTACGTACGAGAATAGGATGCTGATATATAAGACAGACATGCTACTTAAATTATGGGATGAGAAGGAAATATAACCTTCGATGATTTAATTCTAACCCTTGCATGTTGAGAAGAGAATGCCAACCGCACCTGGTAAATTACTAGTGATAAATGTTATGTTAATGTTATGTGGGAAAATACCAACATGCATATGTAAACCCCCAAAGTTAACAGAAGATGCAGTCAGTAGGGACTGACGTTTTGACTTATTGATATGGATATCAAAAATTCTGTGTAGGTTGTAGTGAAACAGCAATGTCATATCATCAAACAGTGATGGGTGCCCAGTTGTTCTTAATTGGGACACAAATTCGCTCTTTGGACAAATACAAATAAAGATCACAAAGTTATACTAAATAGTCAACCTTTTACGTATACGGAAATCAGATACTTTCCGAAGCAAGCGCTTGTCTGGTTTGAATCCCATGACGCCTCCATTCCTCACCATAACTGGTGGTGAGTTCATAGTAGGATTTCATCCTAAACTTTGGCTGAGTTAAAAACCGTTAGACTTGCTCAAATTATTTTTACCCGGATCTTCTAAATGTAGCTGAAAAAATACTAGAAGTCCAAAGGCACAGATCAATTTATTTCTCAACAGGAGAGAGTAAGCATTCTGGGTAGTTATTATTTTTTGTTTTACAAATTTCAGATTAATAACTGAAAACCTAGAATTATATCTAGTGCGTTTTACACATGATATTTGTTAGTGTCAAACAATTACTGAGCTCCGCCATTATCTAATGTACATTTTAGTATTTTACAAATTCTTTTAGGCCTAAAGGCCCATGTGGCAGCGTGAGAATTGGCACTATTACTACATAATATATTTTTTATTTATATTGAGGGAGCCGTGTCGTATGCAGTTCGGTTTGTGGAGGTGGGTGGATGTCTGGCGTTGGATGGGTGTGGTGCAGAATAAATATACCACTAGACGCTGGCGATGAAATTAAGTTATTTCATTATATTGTACTGTTAAAGCCGGATCCATACTCCAAAATTTCCTGGTACTGTCACGCTCACGTGGTCATTATTGTCGATCCATACTTTCCTTCACGGTCATGTCCTTTTCATGGGGTCGTCATGCGAATGAAATTTTCCTGCACAGGAAAGCATCCATACTTGCTGTCATGGAGCTTTTCATGTCATGATCATGTCATGAGATGAAAGTTGACACAGGGTCTACTTTTCACGTCATGAAAACACCAAGATTGCATTCTTCATCAACTTTGCTCACCCCAAAATTAATTCAATCATGAATGTTACAACCGAATCAAAGTTAATTGACGCAGTTCGGGATCGTCCAGAATTGTGGGACAAACGACACCCTGATTTTAAGAATCAAATTAAAAAAACTGCCCGTTGGGTTGAAGTTGAAGCCATCGTTGATGGCGTCACAGGTAAAAGTAGCAATGTATGATATTTAATGAACAATATTTAATGAATGTTATTTATAGCGTCAGAGATTAAAAAATCATGGCAAAAGTTGAGGGTTTAAAAAAACGACGATTTAAAAAAAATTCTAGCCCAAACGTCGGATTTTCTTAATGCTCTAACTTTTTGAGGCGAGGATTGAAAATACGAAAAACATGTATGTTCAGAATTACTTCTGTTACAACATACAATTTCATGTTTACAATTTTTTTGAAATTAAAATTTTTAATCAGATTTCGAAATTTGATAGACAGCAACACGTACAAATATCATACTTTTCAAAAAATTTTAAAACCAAAATTTAGTATTGTAAGGCAAGTAATTCTAAGCATACATGTTTTTAGTTTTTTTAATTCGCGCCAAAATTCAAAAGGTTAGAGCATTTAGAAAATCTAACGTTTCGGGAGGATTTTGTTTAAAATCCCCGCCATACCCCAAAAACCGAGCATTAAGAAAAAAAGCAAAAATATAGGTCCGCTTTGGGAAAAAATAAACTTAGTCCTATAAATGAGTGTTACACAAGAAAGCACTGCATTGTGAGTTTAATCCCAAATAATCTATTATTCATGGTAGATTTTCTCTTCTACATATATTTCTAATAAATATGTAAATCTAACCATTTTACTTCAGAAATATAAGGGCGTATTTTTCTTTGTACAGAATATATTCAATTTGTAATTAAATTATAATAAAAATTATATGGATTTTATTCGTCTGGCCTGTAGGCAGAAGCCCACTAAGTGGATTGTGAACGTGTGGTCTTAGATTAGCATTGAAGGGATGCGTCACAGACAGACAGACAGGCATACAAAACTGGGTTAATATATAAGTTAATTGAATAATAAAATATTATCTAAGTATTGAATAATAAAATACTTTGATGAAGAGCAAATTCAAATACCAACCTTATTGTATCAATGTCGTGAACACTTCAATACTCAAAACAATATTTCTCCTTACTTTACACATAACTTCTGTATAACATTTTAAAGAAAACACAAAGTTCATCGGGAAAATGTTATCGATAGGTTTTGTAAGGAAGGACACTAAAATCCTGAATATTATATTACGACGAATTCATACCGCTCTTGATATTCAGCTAGATTCATGATTAACAGAAATAAAGAACAATTGAGATATATGTAATTAGTCCAACGAAAAGAAGATATGTATGTATAAAGATAGATTAATTGTAGAAATTGCATACTTTACTTCACTCCAAACAACAATAATTTATTTTTAATAAATTTGCATATTAACTAATTTAATTTTATCCTACTACACCAAATTTTAAATTGTTTTTTTGTAGAAAAGGTAATGGCATAACTACATTGCGACTTTTCTGAATATGTATGTTTACAAACGTCTTAAATCCGGTCAATGAATTCATCAATATTCCTGCAAAAGAAAAAATTAGTTTAGTTACTTGAAACAAATTTAAGTTTTATTTTCTATACAAATCTTAGAGATTTATAAGTATTTGCTTCACAATAAATGCCGTTATTTGCTTTTTTGCCTTAGTCATTTTGTGCAGATTTGTCACTTTGATCAGGTCCAAGCAATTTGCCTTAGTGCACAATGTGTAGAGAAGTTCATCGCAAAGGTCCATAAGGAGGGGCAGATCGTACTTGGAAAACGGTTAATTATTTACAAAATCATTCAAATTTTAATAAAGTATAGAACCCTTAATATAGGGCTTTAATCAATTTAAAAAAAATCATATATTGTTTTGGTAAATTAGTAAATTAGTAAAAAGCTCTCCAACATTTCAGACAAATTGACATACCTTATCGGCCGCATTGATAACGTCCTCAAAAAAATCACCCCAACTCTCCGCGATTTCTCCAGTGTAGCAAAATTCGAGAAAAATATTCAACCCTTCGCTCCCGATGTCGGTCATTTCAACAATTCCGACCTTCTTCTCGGCCATCTCTGTAGAAAACATGGCCCTGAAGACGGAACTGTGAGCGGACAAGATACACTGGTGGGCTTTCACTTCTTTGTCATCTTTCGTCAAAATTGTGACATCTGCTCCAATCCCTTCGCGTAACATGGTCAGCATCGAATTCCGTTGATTTTGGCGACAAACATCTAAAGCCAGTAAAGGAGGAGGTTCGGAATACGGCACCTAAAAATTGTAAAAGAGGTTTAAAACCTAAATAGTTATTTGAAGTTCAAGTTGGTGACACTCAGGAAAATATTTCCGAACTTTTTATAACAATAAATTAAATTTGTTCACATTTGAAATATTTCTTGCGATAACAGATATTCAAAAATTCAAAAATTTGACTTTGTCCGTAATTCCCTCACTCAATTTCCAGAATATTACCAACTAAATGGATGCCAACATTATTGAAATTAACCAGGGAGGAATACCTCCAAATTATTTTCGAGATTATTCAGGAAAACCGTAAATTTAAACCGTAACGATAACGTTCCCCCATCAAGCATTATGTCGACGTCATCCGGCTGCTGCGGGTAGATCATGGAATTGCCGGTAGGAGTCATTGGGAAGACGATATTCGTCAAATCAACCAATCCAAGAGTAGACTCAGAATAACAGAAATCCAACGCATAATCTGAAAATATTTACAATGGGAGCAGTAAACACGGATTTTAATTATAAGACAGTTCGTTAATATTTACATAAGTCGATTTGGAGTCGCCCATAAATTATGTAACGCAAATATCGCGCCCATTTAAGACCACCCTCCCCCGCCCCCTTTTTAACATGTGTCACATATGCAACATATCATTTGGCACCAGACACCCCACCTTACCTCTTACGTTACATAATTTACGGATTGCGTCTTTATGTATATAAATAAACATTCACATATTTTTAAATCTCTCTAAAAATGTAATCTTATTCGAAGAAAAAAACCTTGTGTTTTAATTTGTTTGGTTAAAATTAAGTAATTTAGCATTTGTATAATACTTCTCTGCTGTTAGAGAAATGACAGAACTCTCTATTTCAACGTGATCTCCATGTGGAGACAAACAAATAAGTGAAAATCAGGAGTGAAAAGCAGTTTTTTATTTTTTTCACAACTAGGAACAGAGTTCCCTAAAACGAACCTCTTCAAATAAATATGAATCACACTAGCACAAGAATTTTCTAATCGGTCATTGCTTTTTTGGACTATGGAATTAGTCATCATTTGACCCTCTAGCGGCATACTATACAACTATCTACAATATTGTAAGTGTAAAACCGGAATTTCTATTAGATTATGAAAAGCAAAAGGACTGCATCATTTAAAAAAAAGCATTGTTATATGTAACATCATTTTTCTTAGTATTTGCAAATAACTGTGGAATTAAATAAATCTCGATTACCCCGCCACGTGTCCTGAACCCCCAATTCTTTCGTCAGTATTGCAAGTTGCCTCGAAACGGTCACGTTGACCTCGTCACCTTCAAATTTCAACATATGGAGCCACAACTGTATCTTTTCGAGACGTTGTTGACGGAACGAAAATTCCCACTTGGACTTAATTCCGACGTCAGCCCCGATCTCGAAGGGCAATCGCAGCTTGAGGAGTTCATGAGGGAGCTTCAACAGACGTTTCCAACCCTTTATGTCCCACAGAATCTTGAGAGATTGGCTGGGCAACTGAAAAATAGGATTTTTTTTGCAAACAATTTGCACATTCTTGTCAATTTAGTTTTGTGTAGTTTTTGCAATGATGCAATGAGTTTTTCATGCTTTCAATTGAATTTATTTTGTAAGAAACTTACGCCAGACACCATCCGGATTCCTTTACCAGAGACGATGCCTGGTGTTGGCTCCATTTCCATGCTAAATAAATAAAATTACCATTTTATTCCAGGTTTTTGCTATTTATTATTTCAATTTTAAAATTTGCTCAAAAGACACTATTTTAAATTACTTGTAAGTACCTATTAAACATACTTTTTTTTTCAAAAAAACAATTTTTAATGAATTTCCTATTTCTCTAATTCTGGAAAATTTCTCATTGCTAGAGATCAATCACTTTCTGATGACCTTATTATCATTACTGACTAGATTTTCTCATGCACAGACTTTGTGCGTAGTTGGTGACTCAAACTTTGATAAATTGTATTTACACAGTTATCCAAACCAAGACTTTAACTTTACTCTTTGATATGTCGCCCTCGTGATGCTCACAGACATTAATTTTTCCGTTAATTCAACAATTTTTGTTACATTGTAATACATACATAGTCTAAACATAAGCTGAAAATATAAATATATATAGTTGGAAATACATTTATAAAATCCAAAGCAATGTGTTTCACGATAATAAATAAGAATCCGTTAATCTTTTAAAATTTGTGCCAACCCATGCAAACTTATTTACGTATGAATCGCAAACTTGTATAAATAAGTTGCCATAAAAATTTGCAGAGTTTCATGTATAACGTAGAAAAATATTTCCATATACCTGGAATAAAGTGCAAGTTAGGGTATGTAATCTTTTAGTTAACACCAGGTAGGTATAATCCCTAATTAAATACCTATCATCTCCACGTGTATTAGGTAATTGCTGCCAAGGTGTGTAATCATAATTCCTTTTCATTTAATCAAGTCACGGAACACACAAATCGCAGCCATTTGTAACTTTTTGTTCACTGGTGAGAAACACACGTGGAGTAGTGGTGGTGTTGGAATACGCATGCGTGGCGGAAGTTGAAGGGACACGAGGGGAATTTAATATTGTAGGATTGGACGGGGAGGGACATCTATAACATGGACAGCTTAGGGGGACATCGAATTTCTGGGGGGCAAATGTCCAGTGATCCCCCTGCTTCCGCCGCCAATGGGAATGAGAACGAGACAGAATGATAAAGTGATAAGGAAAAAGTCGGAAAAACTGAATAAAATGAAACATTGAAATAATTACAAACATTGTATTACTTTGTTACAAACTAAATACAACGTTACAAACGCAATATGCAACATTTGCATTTGTTGTTAATCAAGTGGCTTACTGAGGTGGGCAAGGTGTAAATAAAATAAAAGAGATTAAGAAAAATATATTTTTTAATTTATAATTTTTTGGTAAAAAATTTATCCCTCATATGAAATTTTTTCGAACATTTTAAAAATAGTAACAACGCTTAAATTATGTAATTTTCGCAATTTATATTTGCAAAACTGTTTGTAAACATTCATAAAAATAATTTTATTAATTTTTAAATTTAAAATTCCTATGGATTTAGTACTTACGATATATTAAATTTTAATTTGTCAACTTAATTGTTTAGTGATCAAAATGAAATATTTGTTGATCAGTGGAGTTATCATGATATGGTCGAAACTAAATGAGATCGATTTCATGAAGCAGATTGGTGAAGAGTATCCAGAAATAAAGCTTCCCATGACGTCAAGTGACAGGAAGATTTGTCACGAACAATTTGACGCGATGAAACACAGACAGAATCCAGATACAGGGTTGTCAATTGTGAGTACAGAGTTCCTCATTTTTCCTTAAACAAAATACAGTGTCGGACAGATCTCTACGTCCACATAGTCGCGTCAATTTCATTTTCAAATTGTCACTGAACTACTGAACCAATTTTCATCATTGATATATCTAATTCTCACAAATTTAACGTAATTTCATAAAACATATGAATTATTTCTGAAAATTCTGGGAAAACTGAGAATCATAGTGCAGAGCGAGAGAGGATGAAATTTGAGCGGACAAAAGTCTACGTCCACTTCACTTTAATTGTCAACAACAAAAATCTATCCAATTTATAAAATCAGGTAACTTAATAAATCTATCAATAACATATGCCGCATTAATTTTTAAATAATTTTCTTCCAGAAAAATATGATGGCGTCGACACGCAAGGAAATTCCTATCGCTATTCGAGATCTTGTCATTCAGGACTGGAAGGGTGGACAAAAAGGGGGGCTGTCGCAGAGACAAATAGGGACCAAGTATAAATTAGCAAGGACAACCATCCAGACAATCATTAAGAACTTTAGAGCTAATGGTTCAGTCCAAAACAAGGTCAGAAGTGGTCGAAAACCCATTTTGGCTCACCGAGAAGTACGCCACGTGCTCAACAAAGTCAACGTTACACCCTCACTTAGTGCTCCAAAGCTATCTACCGAGATCAAGGAGATGTTCGACAAACAAGTTAGTCCTAGGACCATCCAAAGAACACTGAACAAGGGAAATTTGAAATCCCACAGAGCAGTCCGGAAGCCTCTTATTGTACCGAGGAATGCAACCAAACGAGTGAAGTTTGCCAGAGACCACATTTCCAAGCCACAAACATTCTGGGACAGTATTTTATGGACTGACGAGTCAAAGTTCAATGTCTTTGGGTCAGATGGGCGTCGTAGAGTGTGGAGATATCCAAAAGAAGCATTGAATCCAAAAAATCTCAACCCCACAGTTAAGCACGGCGGCGGGTCGGTAATGGTGTGGGGATGCATGGCTTCAAGTGGGGCAGGAAAAATGGAATTTGTTGACGGAATTATGGACCAATACAAGTACCAGGGAATACTTGACCGTAATATCCAGGAATCTGTTCGAAAACTTGGACTTGGACGACGATTTGTCTTCCAACAAGACAACGATCCGAAACACTCTGCCAAGTCCACCATGGAATACTTCAAGAAAAAAAAATTTCGAAGCTAGAATGGCCTCCCCAATCTCCAGACTTGAATCCCATTGAGCATCTGTGGGACCACATTGAAAGAGAAATAAGAAAACAATCTTTTTCAGGAATTCCGGGCCTAAAATCCAGAATTCTTGAAGTTTGGGAAACCATTTCTGAAGATGTGACCAAGAATTTGGTAAACTCTATGACTCGACGCCTTGAATCCGTCCTTAAAGCGAACGGAGGCCCAACCAAATATTAAAAATTAATTGTTATAACATTCCTTATAAATTACAGTTTTTTTTGTATGTTTTCTCTGACTGGACGTTGACTTTTGTCCATCCAATTGTTTTCATTTTGAATTAAAATACATCTCTGGCCTAAAATAAATTTTTTAGCGGGAAACTAATAATGTGCTATGAAATTACGTTAAATTTGTGAGAATTTGATATATCAATGATGAAAATTGGTTCAGTAGTTCAGTGACAATTTGAAAATGAAATTGACGCGACTATGTGGACGTAGACATCTGTCCGACACTGTATAATCCCCTTAGATTGATGAAGCTATAATTTTGCAAATTTTGCATGCCCCACATTATTCACAGACTTGTAAAAAAACTTCTAATTTTGTCCACGTCATTAAAGCAACTTATAGGATTTTTGTCGCATTCCCTAATACCGAATTAACATTGAATTATATTTAGTAATTAACAATTTAAATACCATTTGCTTAATAAAACTACAAAATCGTGACGCAATGCAATAGATAATCCTAAAATTCTAATATTTACATATTTTTTACTATTACCTTAATATATTTTTATTCTATAGTCCCAAATTATTAATTATGTAATTCATAGTTTCCACGAGATGGGAATTTACGACTTGCCCGCAATAATAGAAATGGTGACCGAAACGACCGGAAACAAGGCGATGTACTACGTCGGCCACAGTATGGGGACATCCATGCTGACCGTGTTGCTCTCAATGCGACCAGAATACAACGATCGCATCTTGACGGGATTTCTCCTCTCGCCAGCAATCCATTTCGGGAATACCGCCCCACAACTGAGATTCTTTATGCGGGGCAGCAATTATTTTCAGGTCGGGGTGTCCACGATTTCTTATAATTTTCAAAGCCATATAATTTTTGAACATGAATTTTATTTTTACTGTATTTTTTCAAAAAATTCCTTCAAGCGAAATACGAGGGTAACAAAATTCTAGAGAAATTCGCAAAGAAACCGCCAGGGTTCGTATGTGCTGAAAGAAGAGGGGCTTGTGGTATGAAGCGCGAGTTGGATATTTAAATTATTAATTAAATCTATTAAAAAAATTATTCTTAAAATTACAGGTATTTGTGGAAACTTCTTATCTCTTGGGTTTGGGTATAACGGGCCTCAAATGAATTATGTATGTATGTTAGCATAGCAGTAGTCATGGAAGTGAAGGGGTGTGGTGCGACATTTAGACCAAGCGGATAATTTGAAACTAAAGAACGTCCGGGAATGAATGGGAATGCGCGCTCTAGCGAGTATATTGACAAATCAATAAACCCGCGAACTATAATAATTTAAATTTCTGAAAGCCCACTTCGTTAGGGTCAATTTGGTATATCACTCTTAAATTTCAAAAATGGATAAGGGTAGAAGAAGCTTGTTTGAAAGGGAGCTGTTAGCAAAACGAGTGATGGAGTTCTACAACACGATAGCCAACCGAGACTCCAAGGTGACCTGGAACTTTTTTAAGCAGGAAGGAATTCCAAGTTCAAATGTGTATTCCTACATAAAAAAGTTCAAGGATTCCGAAAATGTGCAATTCAAGAAGCCAGCTGGTCGTCCGGCGAAGCTAGCGACCACTCGAGTGAAAAATAGAATTGAAAAAATTTTCAAAACCAAGCCATCAACGTCAGTAGCTGTAGCTGCCAGGAAAGTCAAAATTTCCAAAAGCTACCTGGGGGAAATTAAGGTCCATAAATTAGGAATCAAAGCAAGGACCAAAAAACCTGCACCAAATTACAAGCCCGTACAAGAAAGTCGGATCAAGGATTGCTGTCAAAAATTGTTGAAGAAAATGCGTGGAAAAGTAGTGATCCTGGATGACGAAACGTATGTTCCGGTTGACCCTTCAAATCTTCCAGGGCGTCATTTTTTTCATAGCTCGGATCCCTCTGAAGTGGCTTATGAAGAAAAAGTACGAAAAAAAGACAAATTTCCAAAGAAATATTGCATTTGGCAATGCATCTCCAGTCACGGACATGTATCAGACCCGGTAGTTCTCGAAGGGAATATCAATCAAGATATTTATCTGAAACATTGCGTCAAGGCTGGATTGGAAGCATTTATTAATAGGTTTCACAAAAATGATAAAGTTTTGTTTTGGCCTGACCTCGCCACTTGTCACTATGCAAAGAAAGTGACCGAGTACCTCAGAAAGAAAAATATTGATTTCGTACCAAAAGATATCAACCCACCTAATGTACCCCAACTCCGCCCAATCGAAAAATTCTGGGCACGTTCTAAGTCAGTATACTCCCGGCTTCAAGATGTGCCTGACACCTTTCGAAAATTCAAAGGACGATGGAAGAAAATCACCTCGGAAGTGGCAAAAACTTCGGGAAAAAATTTAATGAAAAATCTTCGCAAGAAAATCGAACTAGTCGCCAACAGGGGTGTGGCGGCCTTAGCTATTAATTAAATTATGTAGGTACGTATTTGGTATTATACATATGCAAAAAGTTTAAAATTCCGATAACTCATTGTGATTTTATGACCACATTTTCAGACCATTCCCATTCATTCCCGGACGTTCTTTAAAAGATAAAGTTACAATAATGTAGCGAAACATGTCCTAGCATTTCCGAGACCATTACGGGCTTATATCTAATAATTATAAACAAAATAACAACTGGTTATTATTTTTAAGTTTTAATTTGTCATATTATACATATTTCTCACAGACAACCTTAAGTATTCTGCTTGGCGCCTTCCCAGATGTAATATCCACCAAGACTTGGACCCACTACGTCCAATTAATCCACACGGATCAATTTTGCCAATTTAATTACGGATTTAAAACCAAAAACCGAGAAAAATATGGAAGTGATAGTCCTCCGTGTTACAATTTGAGCAAAGTGACCGCTCCCATAGTCATTTATTGGGGGCACAATGATATTTTCGTTAGGCCGCAGGTATGTTAAAAAAATTTTGATATTCGCAGATTTTATTTCTATAAAATTTAATAAAAATTTAAAGAGGGCATTACGATCACTTGTTTTAATTAACCAATTAAATTGGTAAATGCTCCACATGTGTTGTAGGATGCGGCAAAATCTGCTTCAAAATTTCCGAGCAGTTCTTTAAAAGAATTTAACAAAGTGGACGATCCTCTCTTTACACATCTTGATTTCACAATAGCCAAAGATGCCGACGTTTTACTCTACGACCAAATTCTATCCACAATGATGAATGCTACCTACGAATAAATTATTCCACATGCTAATCTCAATAATTTTTGCAAGAAACATTAAATTAAATTTTTGTACTATGGCAATATTTTATAAAACAATTCGTAGAAATCATAAATACATATTTTGACTAGATATATACTTCAGTATAAGTAAGTGTGAAAAATGAGTGATTTATGTATTAAAAATATCATAATAAATAAATATGCAACTCAATTTCGGCATCGAGATTTATAAAGTTTGAGAAAATTTTTTAACAATGGGGAAAAACCTGCCTTTTCTGTATATTCTGTGCTTCTGTCTGCATTGAAAATGAACAAAATTTCATTTATTTCTTTATTCTCCTCCTTACCCGGATATCCCGAAAAGTATCGATCCCATTGCAGAGCACATGCCAAATCTCCCAGAAAGTGGGTAGACGTGTAACAACATGTGTGGAAAACTGTGTTTATATCAGCATATCATTTGACGTAGGCTTTTTGATTTTTATGAGTTTCACACAGAATTAATTAAATATTTCAAAAAATTTAATTCTAAAATATTATAAAATTTCACCAATTATTTATACTTGTAAAAACAAAAAAGAAATTCAAATATACTAAATATTCCAAACCAAATATTCAAATACAGTGAATCGTAAGTTTTACAGGAAAATAGCATTTACTGTAAACTTGCAAACTTTTCATTTTATATAATACTACATTACAGGATGTCTACATGTGCAAAAATTTTGCATATACAGCATAACGATACCTGTTTTTCTTAATAATAAAGTGTATGTAAGTACCAATAATCCTTGATAAAAATTTTATTTAAAATTTCTAATCAAACTCCGTCTTTTTCACAAGGTGTCACAACAGCACCAATTATGGAGTACAAAAATTCTGCTCTGGAAGCCCCCCAGACGACCCCCTCTACTCGATCAGGCTCCGCAACAGCCTCCACCAAGGACATCGTCCATTCAATCCGAACGAGAAAAGTTTCATTTGGAATGGGGATAACTATATCGTGGGGTTCGTTGTAGGTGTGGTTTGACATTTACAGATCCTCTTTCGGGCAGTCGTCCCCCATGCATCCACTGCAGCCAGCCCCCGTGCCATACTTGTTGCCCACTGAGAGGCACAAATTTCCGGATCCGCACAGGGCTCGTCGCGGCTACGAGTTGATCCTTCGCACCCTTGCAAGAGTAGTACGAGTTCGGGCTAGGTTAGGAAAAAAGTAATTAGGGAACGTTCACAAACTACGTGACGCATAAAGGGAGGGAGGGAGGAGTCTGAGGTCGCCTATCTCTACTATTCTAAATTTCCGATCTCGTGACGTATACAATGGGCGGAGAGAGTGGTCCAAAAATACGAAAATTAGCGTACGAATTTTATGAAGGCTCCCTTCACAACATTACTCTGACAATCTCTACATATCCGCAAATGATACTGCCAGCCAATGACTGCTTCTCGCAATTAGTTGTCCCCAGTTGTTTGTTGATCTTGCCCCCGCAGAGGATCCGCTTGGTATCCGCTTCTGTCGGTTTGCACTGACATTTGCTGTGGTCAATCGGTTTGAAGACAATTTTACCCCCCATGGAAAAGGACGCCATAATAACGACCAATACAATGAGGAAGAGGGTTGCTGTAAGGTTCATGATTTCTTGTCGTATTTGCTTTATACTTTTTAGAAATTTGGAATTCTGGAGAATTTATTTATGAGAGGACACGTCTTGTAAGGAGCAGGATGAGGCTGGAAATGGAGACGAGGTCGACATGAGAGGGGAGAAATTTCCGCATCATGAAATGGCCATTGTTCCAAACTTTACGAGGCGTTTGTCTTCCTGGCGAGTGCGATGGTGGAAAAGGAAAACAATGGATAATTTCTAAACACCTACACATGGCATGTGTGACATTTTCAACCGACGTCACAGAATCGGTTTCTGGAACGCACCTACAGTATCGTAGCAAAATTGAGAATACGATTTTTTTTCTATCTATAGCTTCCGTTTTCTCAAGAATCGGTCAATATTTAAAAAGTATTTTTATGACATTTATTCCACATCAATTGGGCTATGTGATTGCAAATTTTTGAATGAATTGGTCAAATATTACAAAATCTACACATAATTATGTGACCAAAAATAAAAAATTGCATGTGCAAAATTGAGGATACGGCTTGAATTACACCTTTAATATTTTTGTATGGCCCTGTTTAGCATCAATAATAGCTTAAATTCTTTTGGGCAAAGACTCCACCAACGTTGTAGTGACGTTTGGGTCAATTTTGGCCAATTCTTCACATACAACATCTTTCAGCGACGCCGTAATAGTAGGTTTACGTTATGCCACTCGACGCTTCAAGATTGTCCAAAGATGTTTAATCGGGTTGAGGTATGGGGATTGAGGGACACAATCCAAAACATTTATTTTGTTGTCCTTAAGTCATTTCGGAATGATTTTGGCCGTCTGGTTAGGATACCCGTCCAGCTGAAAGGTAAATCGGCGACCCAGGCCAACTTTGGCAGCCGACGGTCGTAGGTTTCTTCTTAATAAATCGAGGTAATCCTCTTTCGTCATGGTTCCTTCTATGAATTCCAGTTTCCCGATACCACCCCAAGACATACTACCCCAAATCATGACGCGTCCTAAAAAATTTCGAGACTTTTAGACCTAATCCCCGAAATACTTTAACTAAGTTTTCTCTCACTTTCTCCATGTTTTACCATTGGTCTCAAATTTCTATTTTTCAAGGCTTGTTTGGGTCTTTTCCATACTAGAATTATTTCATCGGACCCAAAGAGCAAAATTTATGTCTCATCGGAAAATAGGACCTTCTTCCAGTCAACAACAGCCCACGAATCTTTCGCTCTTGCTCACGCCAACCATTTCTTGCGGTTTATCTCAGCTAGCTATGGCTTCTTTTTTGTGATTTCTCCCGAAACCCAGCCGATTTCAGCTTTCGTTTAATGGGGCAAGTGTGAAGAGTGACTCCAAACTCTTTTTGAAGTTTTGTCGAAATTTTTTGTGCTGACAACAAGGGGTTTATCCTCGCTTTCCTCAGGCTTGCTGCATCCTCTGGTGCAGTCGTCTTTAATTTTCGACCTCGACCTTTTCGGTATACTACATTTCTCCTAGTTTTCCATCTCCGGACAATCCCTAATACATTTCCCTTCGAAATTTTTAAATTTTTAGCAATTTTGCCTAAACTGAGGCCTTCTTGATAGTACCAAACTATTTTTGTCCGGACCTCGAAACTGTGCTCTAATCTTATAGTCATTTTAAAACTAAAATGTTCTAATATTATTTTTATTGGTAATAACAACATCTGTTCTTCCTCTGAGTTTGACTCCCACTACAAACTTTGATGCGAGAAACGATTAATAGAGCGAAATTATCAACAAATTCCAGTCGTATCCTCAATTTTGCACATGCAATTTTCGATTTTTAGTCACTTATTTATGTGTAGATTTTGTAATATTTGACCAATTCATTCAAAAATTTGCAATTACATAGCCCAATTGATGTTGAATAAATGTCATAAAAATTCTGTTGAAATGTTGACGGATTCTTAAGAAAACGGAAGCTATAGATAGAAAAAAAATCGTATTCTCATTTTTGCTACGATAGTGTATATTTTTGGCAAATTTAGCACAAAGATAAAAATATGAAAATGCATTTGCAGATTTGCTATTAATCTCTAAGTGATATCGTCTTTATAATTTTTAAATCTTGTACATATTTATTGGAATGACGTCTGTTAAATCAGAGGTTTTCGAAGAATTAAACGGAACAGATTTTTAGCTGCCTTGCTTTTCATGCTTTATTCCCCATATTTCTGCTTTGAAGTGTTTTTATCTATTATAACGTAGTGTATATCTTGTCCGTCCTTGGTGGGAGCAAAATTAAACTGTTGTTTGATAATACAATTAATTTATTTTGTGTACGTTTTGTCTAACACAGGTTGCTTTGCTCAGTTTAAAATAATTTTTTGTTACTACTTTACTGTTGGGTTCAAATAATTTTAAGCTTTTCTAGAAAATGTGGCGGATAATGTTGGAAATACTGAAATAGGGCATCGGTGATAGAGGGCAAATATGCAAATCATATAATTATAAAAATTATATAAGCATTACAGTAGAATTTTTTAAATTTTTGATTGGAATTGACGTATAAGATATATGAATGTTCGTATGGAAAAAATTTTTTAAATTTAGAGTAAAAATCGAATAAATTTATTTATTTCTCTTCATCAATTTATCATTAATGTTACATATTTCAACATACTTATTTATGAAGATTAGACAGCCAACAGATTTTAATGCTAACATTGAAGTATCCACATTTATAATGTCGAATTAAAATTGTTAAAGATGTGATAGCCCCTCCTTTGGGGAATGATGAAATTGGTCATATTTTGAAAATTTAAAGTATTTTAGACTTGCCTAATTATCACAGATGTCATTAATTTTTAGAAGCATTTGAGTGGGGTTGGTTTCCTTCACGAAACTGGTCACATGCAAGCAGTCCAATTTGCGGTTGAGGCTGGTCCCGCGGAAGTCAAGCCTGGCGTTCGGGTGGTCTGGATGGCCAGCCGTGACGCGTAAGTCGTACCCGTATCCCTCCCTCCATTCCAGGTCGGTGTGCAGTTCGGTCGTGGTGACAAATTTTCTTAAAGATAGGGTGATGTTTCCTTGGTGCGGTTCGCCTTGGCCGGGCGATCCTGCCTGGATTGCAACCGCAGCGGCCAGTCTGTGTGGCGCAGGTGGCTCTATTGCGCAGCCCGCATGACGACGGTCGCCAGCTCCGTTCCCACCCGCGGTCGCCTTGACGGTGTTGATTCTGCCAAATTTCCCGCAATCTCTGAAACCGACATGAATAAAATATTTAGCTGTCATAATATGCGTACCAGTGAACATAGTTGTGACGGAAAGGAATATATTTTTGGAACCTTTGGAAGTCCTCGTCGACCTCGTGGTGCATATTTGTGCAAGGTCAAGTGAGGACAGCTAATTGCGAGTAAGCTGTTCTTGTCTATCACCTTCGGATATGTAGAGGTTGTCACTCTCATAGTCAAATTGCTGGGGGGGGGGGAGATTCATGAAATTCGTAACGCAAATTTTCGTATTTTTTAGCAACTCTCCCCCCCCACTCCCACAATATGCGTAATGAGATAGGAATTTTAGCATAGTAGGACCTCAGACTACTCCCTCTCCCCAGTTTGGTTTACGTAGTTTGTGAACGTTCCCTAATTACTTTTTTTCTAACCTAACCCGAACTCGTACTACTCTTGCAAGGGTGCGAAGGATCAACTCGTAGCCGCGACGAGCCCTGTGCGGATCCGGAAATTTGTGCCTCTCAGTGGGCAACAAGTATGGCACGGGGGCTGGCTGCAGTGGATGCATGGGGGACGACTGCCCGAAAGAGGATCTGTAAATGTCAAACCACAATCACCAAGGCACCATTAAATAATCCATGCTGATCCCATATCTCATTCTAATTTTATCATAAAAATTAACTGTTGGAAATTTAGAGTTTTCTAAATCTAACAAAATTGAATGTTCGGCAGATTATTCATTAAATGTACTTACCCACCCAAGTTGTTCGAAATTTGAGTTAAATATATAAATATATACCAATTAATTTTTTCTGCTTTGATAAACTCGTCAGCTAAGTAAGTGTAAAAAAAAATATTTCGTTGCAAAAAGCTACCAGAAAATAAAGGGTATGGATCTAATTTTTGGTACAGTCAGAGTGTACTACAGTTTAGTATATCCGGCTAAATTAAGTAAATCAGATCGTGCATGAATTAGATGTATACCAGCTTTAGCTTGTAATGCACAAAATATGTTTGCCCTTTAAACTTCAGATTTTACTAATATCTACATAGTAAATACATCTATTTTTCGCCAAGGCATGCTTTGACAAGAAAATGTGCACATTTTCTTGCCCAACATTCATTCCGAGCGAAATGAGAATGGAATGACGGAGAAGAATATTCTGACTCATGCAAATGGCCGTACATAAATTATGTCATAAATTTAAAACTATAAAAATCTCACGTCTTCATCCTCACACGATTCCCCACTATGGCGCAAAATTGCCAAAAAAGTAGCCACATTCTCCCCGCAGGTTGTGAATGATTCGCCAATTTTCACCCTTCATTTCCACCTCGTGTTCCAGCTATCCTTTTGTCTCGGCAATTTTCTTTAGTTCCAGATTTAACTCGCCTTCTTGGACACAATTGGATACACCACGTCTGGTTTTACCCAGGCGATGTTTCTCTTTAATCTTTTTCTTTACGTAACGATTTGTGAGAGAATTGGGTACTCTGCACATAGAAAATCTCTTTTCCATTGTTGTGAAGAAATTCCGACAAAAAAGTTTCCATTTTCTAGCTGCGCATCTTCCCTGGATATCATTATTCTCGAGACATGATATGGATGGATGATTGGGTAAAAAAGTTGGATTTTTTTTGCACTTGCGAATATTTAGCGATGACACAGCATATTAGGGTTTAGAGTACCTTTTTGATATAAAAGGACAAGACGGAGGTTGAGGACGAATCAGTGGGAAAATTGCGGTGCAAGACGGATTTTCTGGACAAAGACAGAAAATTATTAAAATGAGGGTCGTAATTTGTGCAATTTTAGTGGCGAGTTGCCTATCCGTTGCTACGGCGGGAGAGGAACATGTCGTAGGTAAGCAGGCTGGATTTGAATACTTGACAAAATGGGGAAATATTTTTCGGGAACTTTGTAAACTGTGCAAATAGTTAAAATTGAGGTTTTTGGAAATTTCATAATACAGCCATATTTGCACAGTTTACAAAATTTTGTGGGAATTTGGTTAAATAATTTGGGCATGGAAACTTAAAAGATTTCTCTTAATTTTCCAGAAAGGGTGAAACGTCAAGGTTGGGGTGGTGGTGGGGGTAAGTCAAGATTTTGCAAATTTGACGAACCTCCTTAATTAATTTTCCTACACTATAGGATACACTGGAGGTGGGGGCGGTTTCCCAAATTATGGCGGAGGGTACGGCGGAGGCCAGAAGGGATTTGGAGGTGGTGGATTCGGTGGTGGGGGTGGCTATGACCAGAAGGGCTTTGGTGGGGGTGGTTTTGGCGGGCAGGGCGGATATGGTGGTGACCAGAAAGGATTTGGGGGTGGCGGATTCGGCGGAGGCGGTGGATACGATCAAGGAAAGGGAGGATTCGGTGGGGGTGGCCTTGGTGGGGGTGGTTTTGGTGGGGGCGGCTTCGACAATAAAGGATTCGGCGGTGGCGGCGGTTATGGGAGAAAATAAAAACAACTCATTACTTAATCTAATTTAATTAAACATTTTCTTAATTAAACTAAAGTCTTAAATTAATAAATCTTTTTCATCCTCATGCTAAACTTTATCACCATGGGAACTATTTAATAAAACAATTAAGATATTGCGTAATTTCATATCACAATTGTTCTAATCTCCTACCCTGATCAGGACGAACATGTACTCTTCCTCCAATAAAGTCAAACTTTGACTTAAATCGACTCAAACATTTCTTGAAAATTATTCTACCTCCAACTCGAAATTTGACAGAAAGCCAATTTTTTACAACAATTATCTCGACTTGCGAAAAATACGCTTGTATGCATTTTTATTAAAACCAATTAATCTGATTCTGTACACTCATTTAGTATTACTCAACTACACAGAGGATGGGTACATAAATGTATTTGTAGATTTTTGCTTCATAACTTCCACAAATTTATTTTTTAAACTGCACATTTTTGTTGTCAATAAACCTAATTATCCATAATTAAATTAACGGACAATTTCAATTAACTAATATTCATGCCAACACATCCAAATGTTTTGTGTTATCCACCTCATCAAAAGTTAGCACTACTTTATCTCCATCTTCAGAATTGAAATCAACTCCAACTTTTGTAAAAGCTGTGTTTTTCAGAGCCCATGGGAAATTTGGGATCGGTGGATGGGACAGTGTCACAAAATCGGAGAAATTTCCATCCATCACAGCCTCCATGACGGACTTGAGGTTCATGCAATGAGTGACGATAAGAACGTTGGACAATTTCTTGGAGGCGGAATCAGTTCTCAATATTTTAATCACACCCTAAAATAAGTAAATAGGATTTCAGAAATTGTAAATTCACGTAGGTTATACTTAATTTGTCACCAGAGGCGGTAACAATTTAAATTTGACACTTTGAAGTTACACAACTAATTAAATAACGAAACTAGTTTTCTAAATTTAAAAACAAGTTATAACCTAACTACGTGAAAACATACATGATTGTAAAAAAAACTCCCCTTATTAAGGGCTTAACTTGTTAACAAACAATTTTGACTACGTTATCAATGTGGTTAATGAAAAGATATTTATAAATATAATTTAATTGACTACCAAGATAATAATGGTAGTTAATTAAATTGCATTAAAAAGTATCTTCGCAGGATATAAGGTTTACCTTAAGAAATTGTTTCTGTCCTTCCAGAAATTCTGCAGATGTTGCGCTACTACCTGGAAATTCAAGTTGATAGAATTTTTTGCCAGTTTTTAACTCTCCAAATTTCGCTTTCCATTGAGCAGAGTCCCACCGAAATGCGGCCAGATCTCCACAATCCTAACGTAAAATTAAGCGTTTTAAGCTTGGATAAATTAAGTAAAACTAAATTCAAATAATCTGGTAGTAAACTATAATGGTCTAGATATAAAAATTAAAGCCAATTTTACATGCAAAGCTTATGGTGAACTGGCTCTAATTTTAATACCCAGACCATAATACTGTAACAAATGGATGACTATCTTCTTAACTAAACTTCTAAATTTTTTCAAGCTTAAAAATAACCAACCAGGTCTCAACGTGGTAATAATTTATTACCAAATTATTTTAAGTACATTTTTCAAAATTTCTTACACGTTCTCTCAAGATCTCAACCATCTCAACTGTTGGTCCGTCTATTACGTTGCCTCGTTCTTTGTGGTGCGCCAGAATCCCATCCGCCGTGTCAACTGCTCTCCGAAAATTGCTGGAGTAGATGTAGTCCATATCGGGCAGAACGGTTGCTACCAGCTTTACCTTAATTAAAAAAACATACATATTTTCTTCAAATCTTATTTAAAAAAACGGCAATTTAGTCGTTTTTCCCCAAACTGGTTAATAAACCCAAAATACACTTTTCATGTAAATAATCACGTAATAACTCTAACAATAAAATCTGTACGAGTAAATTAACCTGCTCTTTTCCAGTTTCTGTTAATCCATCCGTTTCTTTGGGAAACTTATCCTCCGCGAGGTTTCCGACACATTCAGCGCTATAGTATTGATCATCATACATAGTGTAATTAGTTTTGGTATTAAGATACTTTAAATTTCAATAAAACTTACTGTCGTAAATAATAAATATAATGTTGCGATCGCTTCGAATTCATGGCCACGTTATTTTCTAGAAACTTTACTAAATTCTTAAATATTTTAGATACTTATTTCCATCACAACCTTCCTGAAGGAATAACAAAGTTAGATAGGCTACGGATTTAGAAACTGTTTATTTCAGCTGAAAAACATTCTCCCTTTGTAAATGCAATGAATGGAATTTCCTTTATTTTATTAATGCGTTTAAAACGGTCCAGCCGGTAGCACAGGAATAAATACACATAAAACATCCAGAGAAACAGTACTAATGCATAATCAGGTGTGGAATTATATGCTCCTACATTTAAATAAATAAATGAGAGTACGCCAGGCAAAGTAAATAAAAGGCATGAAACAGGATAGATAATTGAGATTGATGTACTTGAGAAAAACTCACCAGTCAACAGCACTGCGTACATATCAAATTAATGGTGCACTTGTATGTTGATGCAGAGACAATATTTTTTGTCCCTCGAATTGCATTGGCGAAGGAAGCAGGGGGACAGGGGGACATTGTCCCTCCAGAAATTCGATGTCCCCCTAATCTGCCCATGTTATAAATGTCCCTCCCCGTCCTATCCTGTAATGTTAAAGTCCACATGTGTCCCCCCAGCTTCTGCCGCCCACATTGAATTGCCCAGATACGATTGATCATCGCGTATTCTCATCCACAATTATTTTTGATACATTATTACTTTGTTGTATGAATGGATAGGTATGTACATATATTTGTATGTCTACTTTAACAAACTATCTATGTATTAACAAAGTATCAATTTGTCATGGAAATAAATGCTGTGATACATTAAATAAGGTCAGTTTTTAAGAAATAAAGTGCTACTATAGATGGGCAATAGTTGAAGGCTCACAGAATCAAATTGTAACAATGCTACTTAATTTGCGTACTTTTGTTTAGTAAATGCGCAATTTTTCAAATTTCGTGGAATGTCTTTTAAGAACAACTTGCAAATTTAATATTTTTTTGGGTTACCAACGATGAGAAAATTTTTTTCAAAAATTAACAAGTAGTTAACCTATATTAAAATAGCACTAATTATTAATTCAATCTAAGAATTATAAACATAATCATTTAAAATTATTAAAGGTGACCTAAATATTATTAAATACTCTCACACGAAAAACATTTTGTGTATGTACATTGTAGACACAATTTTTTTCAAACAAACTCGTATTTTTTACATTATTAAAAATAGAAAACATTGTGTTAGCATCTTCAGCAAAAAACATCTGTAGTGACATGTGCTGCACTAGCGGGACTTGGACAAAATTGAAATTCCCATACAAGGAAAATCTGGCTTAATCTTGTAAAAACATAGACTTTTCATAAAAGGGCCAAAATTTGGCCTTATCTCGACCACAAAACTAATAAATGCAAATAAAAAAAAGAAACAATGCTACGAAAAAAACGGGTTATACCGCCTCCACCTTGGTAGCCCCTTCCTCACTTTGCACAACCGATTGCCTCATCGCGAATTTATGGGTGGCAAAAAAACGTATTTCATGACTCGGATAACCCGCTATCCTTTGAGAATCCGCGAGTTGCCACACTATTTCCAGTTTGGCCCACACCCCTTCAATACCTGAAGCCTTCAAGTTTCCCAGCCTTCTCGTAATTATTGGATACACCCAGTTCCTCGAAGTCTGACCGAAATACATCGTGATTAATGGAAAGTCCTCCCTAGCGTTTAGAACCAACCGGCTCCCATTACTTTTCAACAGCGCCGCCAATATGCCTACAACGCCCTCTATGTCGATAACAGCGTACGTTAGGCCCGTGTCCACCGATCCGTTTAATACAGTCAGATTCCCCATTGTTAAAATTGTGGTGATGAACGACACGTAATTTGTTGAGGCAAATGCGTCGAAAAATACTACTTTCTCCGCCAGCTGTCTCACCAGCTGGGCAGATTTGTCATTTCTACCGTTCAAAAACCGAATATAGCCCGGAATCCGGTCTCCAATCAGTCCAGAGACTCTCGTCTCTATGCCGGTGACTGTGTAGTCATGCAAGGTCAAAATTGGAATGTTTGAATCGACCAATTCCATCAAAGTTTCTGGCATCTGACGAATCTTAATTGCACTCAGGTACGAAAAAATCTCTCCCGTATATAAATTGTCCATGATAATGTTACTCCCAAAAAACAGCCACAACCAAATAACACCTTGGCCGATATGGTTGCCGCCAAATATATATGAAGACTCGTTACATACTTGTTTCAGCAACATGGCAATTAAGTGGATAAAATCGATTCCAATGTCTAACGGATTTTTCTGAGTTTTTACAACTCCCGCCAACCCACAGATTGCGACGCCTGTCGCGAATAGGACTAACCATACTGTAGCAGTAAAAGGCAGCAGGAAGGCGTTCATACCCTCCAGACTTGACGGAAGTTGGGTCACAATGATAAACTTGGTCGATTCGGTACGCATCGAATACGGTGCGAACCTGAACGGCGCCTGCGCAACGGTAGGGAGTGTGTCGGCATTCAAAAGTTTTGGCACCATTAAATTTGTCACGGCATTTTTAGCACGTGTGAAGTAGATGAAGGAGAAATTCAAGAATTGGGAAAGGTGTACGATTATGCAATCGTTTAATAATATATAACTTTCTAACCAAGCGAGTGTAACGCCGCAATTAAGCTTTTCCAGATTCATATGGCTCCCGATTTGAACATGGCGCTGGGCCAAGTTGGTATTTTCTGCGCGCCATATTTCGTCCAAGTTGTGAAACGGTATTGTCCAAACCTGGGAGGGAGGTATGTCTGGACAAGTAACACATGGTATAAATAGTACCCCGGGGATGTAGAGGGTAAAAAGGATAATCTTAGAAGTCCCCAGGTGCCATTCGTAATTTTTGAAATTCCCCGAATTCCATGGATCTGGGGCATGCTGAAATATATAGGTTGGATTTATGTTTCTCATCATGACGTCTTGAATCCAATAGTGTATCGGCAAAGCGAATGCCCCCAAGTCGAAAATTGTCTCGATAAATGCAACTGAAACAGACACAGATTTAACCTGCATGGGTGCATCATCATCCCACCAGCCGAGTAACCCCATTAGTGTCTTGTTTACAAAGATTTCGTTCAAAATAATCGGCGAGTTGGGGTTGTTGGAGATAGTTTGGTAAAAATATGGCAAAGAAGTTGCACCATTCCGACGCCACAACTGTACGAAGAAGAGGTTCTTGCTGGAAAAGTAGTCAGGAATTGTCCAGAAGGATGCCACAGTTGTTTGTGGGCTTAAAGACAGTACCAAAATAAATAGCGCCAGCATCGCTAAAGTTTATGTTGACGTCAAGGAAATGAAATTTAAGGGAGCGAGTTAATAAATTTGGCGAACTATGGCGGGTTAGTTGAAATTTACAATTTCCTTCAGAATGTAATTTCGAATCGTTTCGAAGAGTTGTTAAAGCATAATTGAGTCCTGTAGGTATCGTGTTGTGCTGTGTGAAATAAAATGAGCTGAAATAATGGAAAAAGAGGCGACATTATAATACTTAGGTTGCTATGGTCTGTGTATTAAAATTAGAGACAATTCTCCATAAGCTGTGCATGCAAAATTGTCTCTAATTTTAATACTAAGACCATAACTTAAAGCTAGTAATTTCCGGTTGATTATAACTAGTTTCGCAGAAGTACTTCAGTTTGTATAGACACAATTATCACAGGAAATAGCATAGTTTTAAAAAAAATGTAATTATCTCGTATGAAGTATTGTATAAAGCCCAGAACAAGGTTATATTTTTGACATGGATGAATATTTAAATATGCATAAATACTGCGTGCTGAGAACGTTGACAACCCCAAGCCGTGCAAATTATATCTATGATTAACATTCCAAAAAATATTTATGTCTATTTATTTATTTGCAAAATTATGTGCCATACTTAAACAATTTTTATCCATATGTACGTTTAGTGTTATAAGAACAGTTATATTCAACATTCTGTCAATACATTTAGCATTGGCGGCGAAAGCGGGGGGACAGGGGGACATTGTCCCCCTAGGTCCCCCCAACTTCCGCCACCCATGACGTTTAGTGGTATTGTTCAGGTTCAGTCCGTTTCACATGACATAACAGCAAATACTTTGAGGATAATGCTGATTTTCAAGTAAACAGGATAAAAATGAAAGTAGATCAATCTCTGTTTTTTACTAGAATTGCGAAAAAATTTAATTTCAAGAATGTGCATATACGCAAAGAAAGATATAGCACTGATAGGTTATTCACAAGATAGTTTCCTTGTCTGCATTTCTTTATCAAAATTTATGCGGGAACTCAAAATATTGTCAAAATAAATATAAATTTATTTTATGTCCAAATTTGCTAGTAACCCTTGTAGCACATATACGAGTTTTACTTGAGTAAAACACGAAACCAAAATTCGAAGAACTGCTGTAAAAGACGTGTTTTTTTGGCTTCTAAGTCCTGTCAAATTCGGGGTAAATGTCGCCAAATTCCGCGTGTTAAACTCGTGTAAAACTCATGTTTATTTCAAGGATTTTTCGAGAAATTCACGTGTTTTTCATTACATATTTTTATGCCTAACTCATGTTTAACCTGTATCTAATACTACAATAAAACTGCAGTCTTTCTCCAGGTTTCTTTTTGTTTTGAAACTCATTTATTGTTAAATAAACAATTAGAATTGGTTATAAATTTTGACTACACTTAAGTTACATACTAATACTACATACAGTATGTGTATATATTTAATCATGCAGTGAACCTGCTTACATACAACTTGCAATATCCGAAGAACCGGCAACTATTTCAAAATTATTTTTTTATCACTTATTCCTCATCTATCTGACTACATAGTTGCAAATTTTTGAACAAATTGAGTAGTTATTACAAAATCTACAAGTACTTGTAGATCCAAAAAGTGAAATTGCATTGGACAAAATTAATCATACAGTTTGGATTTTTTGAAATTAATATTTTGTGTGGCCCCTTTGGCTTCAATAACAGTTTTAATTCGTATTGGCATGGACTCCACCAATGTTTCCGCGACGTTTTGACCAATGCTGGTCCACTCTTCAATAATTACATCTTTCACGGAAGTCGTATTACTAGGTGTTCGCTCTCTCACCCGACGCTTCAAGTTTGCCCAAAGATGTTCAATCGGATTTAGGTCAGGGTATTGAGCAATTCAATCCAAAACATTTATTTTGTTGTACTTGAGACATT